TTCTCAGCAGTGGCTTCTGCTTCGACGATAGCAGTTGATGCTTTTGTTGTTACCGCATCCACATCAGCTGCAGTAGCGAACATTGTCATTGTTTTATCAACATCATTAGAAACAGTAGTAGCTGATGTTGTTGTTGTTATTGTTGTGGCATCAAAGTCCACAACAGCAGCTCTGGCTAACGTTGTGTCTGTTGCTTCATTAACATCAGCAGAAGCAGCTGATGTCGTTGCGCCGTTATCAGAGATAGCAGTAACAGCTGTTGTTAATGTTGTTGTTGTAGTTACTGAAGCGACATCATCAACAGCTGCCAATGTTGATTGCTTAACATTAGCCATTTTTTGAGTTGTGGCCGTGGAGGCGGCGACAACATCTTGAATGGATGTGGTTGAAGTTACTACATCCTCGCCCATAGATTTTTCTACTTTTTTCTTCTTTATAATTTTTGTCACTTTTGACTTTGCAGTCCCATCAGCTTCTCCGCTATCATGTCTTCCAACATCGTCATCATCATCATCGTGAACATCAACAACTTTATGGTCGTCATCATTCTCATCATCATTCGTTTTGCTAGTGGCTGAATTATCATCGCTATCGCTATCGTTTTCACCACTAGACTCATCGTCGTCGTCGTCATCATCGTGTGAGGTTTTATCTTCATCATCTTCGTCTTCGTCATCATTTTTATCATCGTCGTCGTCATCATCTTCATCATCGTCGTCATCATCATCACTACTACCTTCTTCGCTGTTGTCAGCTTCAATTTCATTTCCATCATCATCATCGTCGTCGTCGTCGTCGTCATCTTCGAGATCATTATCATTATCGTCGTCATCATCATCTTTCTCATCATCATGATCATCTTCATCATCGTTAATGTCATCTTCTAAATTGTCATCTTCGTTACTGCTGCTGCTGCTACTACTATCTTCGTCGTCGTCATCATCATTATCTACGTCCTCATCGTCATCCGTATTTCCGGCAAAGGAATCGCTGAAGCAATCGTCACCGGAAGTGGTTTCTTCTTCCGTTTCCGCTCCTTCATCGTCGTCGTTTTCAGTGTCTTTGGTTTTGTTTTCGTTGATTTTCATGATTATTTTATTATTGTTTTTACAGTTAAAGTTTATTATTACTATTATTATTATTAATTATTATTATTTTCCATTTATTAATCAGCTTAAAGTTAACAATGAGAACTCCTCTTTCTAACAATAATTACAATAATATAATAATAAATTTGTTATAATTCTTTGTTATAATTTAACCAATAACAATCGTTATTATTCTTTGTTATAATATAACCAATAATTAAATTACGATTCTTTGGTAATAATAACTTTGACAACAATTACAATAATTATTAGCTGGTCTAATAAATTTATGAATAACTATAACTCATTGTTATATTAATGATAGCAATTAATTAATTATTTATTTATTTCATATTATTATTACTGATGATTAATTAATTTATTTTTCTTGACGAAAGTTGTAATCGAAACAAGGTTTTACAAGCATCTTGACATCTAACTAAATGGTTTTTCTGCGAAGAACTGAAGGAAAAAAATTATTTTTTATAATATTAACAATTATTATTATTATTAGTAGTAGTAGTAGTAGAAGTAGTAGTAGTAGTAGAAGTAGTAGTAGTAGCAGCATTGCTAGTTAAAACTAGACAATGAATAAATCATCAATAGAATAATTAATGAGTAAATTGAGAGATTAATAAAATAATTAATAGACGAATAAATAAATGAATAATGAATTACTAAATACAAAACAGTACCGCAAAACAGCGTAAAGACAACCGTTTTAAAACCGGATACCGAAACTATACCGAATCTAATCGATAAATACATAAAATCTATACCGCTATATGCAAAACGAATACCCCAATGTATAGTGTATTAAACCGGGTATCAATACATTTAAATACAGCATGTTGTTTTAAAGGCAAACTCATCGCTGCTGCTGTAACTTGCTTGTTAACTAAAGTATGTATGTATGTATGATGTATGTATGTAGGATGTATTGGGTACATATAAGTTTGTATGTATATATTGTATGTATATTTGTAGGTGTTATTTTGTATATGTATGTGCATGTATGTATGTATATGTGTGTGTGCGTGCGTGTGTTTACGTGGTGTATGTTTATGTCTGAAGAGAATTATAATCCTATAGGCATATAGTTTAACTCATGCTATAAAGTAAACATAACCCTGAATATTCCAACGCTAATAAGACATAATAACGTTTAAACAATAGGCTAAAACTAACACAAGAGCCCATCATACCCATTATTTTCTGCCTATTTCCATAGCACATGTAGAATAATATTTAATAAAACACCATCGAAAATCAAAGTATAAGAATACCTAGCACGGTTGTGGATCATGAGCCTTACATTCGAACGTAATGTGAAAGGATTAATTTTAAAAAGGATTCAAGTTTTTAGCAGTTTGTAAAATTGAAGTTTTTTTAATAAACTTTTTAAAAAATTTTCACAAAATTTGGTTTTAGTGGGTCTGTGATATTTTTAGTATCTATGCTTAAATTTACTTTATTATTATTACTAATTAACTTTTCTCTTTCCTTTTCCGCGAACGTTTCAATCACTCATTCATTCATTGCATGTGTGTTTATGTTTACGCTTGTATCTATATGTATATATTTGAATTTATGCACTCGTTGTTCATTTATTTGTTTGAAAAAAATTCAGTCAACATGAAAATTTTATTGCTGAAAAACTCGTGAAAATAAGCTTCGGCCTTATCCAACTTTCGTTCGATTTAAAATCGAAAGCGATACTTTGACCGTCAGTCGGCTTCTAAAAATTTGATCAACAATTGCGATTGTTATTTTAATTTTTTGTGAATTCTCGCGCCGTTTTTCGTTATTTATTTCATTTTTTGAGATATTTTGTGATTGTGACACTTTATTGGTAAGTCAGAATTGCATAATTTAGTGAGTAACAATGAGGTAGATGGGCTTAGAATGCAATGCACATTGAACACAACAGCAGCAAGCATAACATAATGGAATAAAGCGAATCCGCCATATCAATTTCATTACGAACTATATTAAAAAATTAATTCAGTAAAAAAATTAGAAGAAAAAAAATTTAAACCATACCGAGGTGAAACTTCAAAACTGCAGTACAATGAATAAATACACCGAAAATACCAGTACCATAATTTGCGAAAAAATAGCACCTAACCTTATCACGACCATAGTAGGTACTATGCTAAGTTATGTATGTATTACACCAAAGAAAGTAATAAACTAAGTTATGTATGTATAACACCTAAGTAATATAACAAATTAATACCTCACAATCAGCCGAATAATTGCCTAAAGGTACCTTAATATACTACAATAATACCGTATTATACAAAACTAATAACACATGAGTAATATTCGAAGATAATACCTCATAATTATAACAAAATCAACACCATAATTCATCCAATAAAAAGAATTCAATCGTTTCTTTAACAGTTCCTTTGATGATTGTTGACGGATGATGATGAGTTGCAAACTATTTCATATTGATGACTAACAATTTGGGAAGCCTTTATTGACAAGAGCTGATTAACTGACTAGTTGGTTGACGCAGTTGCAATAATGAAAGCAGATGATTAGCAGAAGAGCAAAGACTAATAAGTCTGTGAAGATATGGCTGTCTGTGTGTGTTGTGTTTGTGTGTGCTTTATATGAGGATGAGCCAGAGACAGAGTTCCAATGCGTAGTGATTCTTTCAATTATATGTACTATGTACCTAATTAATTAGTTTCCACTGTTTGTGCTTGTTTGCGAGTGTGTGTGTGTGTTTTTTTTATTAGCTAGTTAGATTGTTAATAATTATTTTATTAGCAAATCATTATAAAAAAAATATTTATTAGTCGAAAATAATTATAATCATTGAATGTGTTGTAAAACTATGTATTAGATTGTAAAATCTTTGCAGAGGTTGTAAAATTCAATATTAACTTTGTATCTTTGTATAGGCCTTACAGTATATATACACTCTTGGTTGTAAAATCTTTGCAGAGGTTGTAAAATTCAATATTAACTTTGTGTAGGCCCTTCGGTGTATACTTTTGATTGTAAAATCTTTGCAGAGGTTGTAAAATTCAATATTAACTTTGTGTTAGCCTTACGGTATATATACTCTTGACAATTTTCATTCATCAGTCTTAACGATTTTGATTGGTCAGTCACCAAATCATAGACACTTCTAAAGTTTTATCAAAAACTCCACATATCAGATCTCAAATGGAATCAAACCAAACCAAATCTAGAAAAGAAAAGAAAAGAGAAAGGAAGAGAGAAAAGAAAAGAGAAAAGAAAAGAGAAGAGAAAAGTTCACAGGTTTGATATATTTTTTAATTAATTATCATTAATTTTTAGATTGGAATGAAATTTTCGTTTCGTTACGCTGGTGAAATAATTTATCAGGTTTTTGGTAACAACTACAACCCGGCATTAAACATAAACAATATGGTCGCCATGTAACTATTATGTGCACGCGACTAATTTAATTAAGTTAGACAACTGATATACTAAAAAGATATAATCAATGAAAATGTTATAATTTCTTTTATTTAATCAAATTTTTTTTATTTATTCTTTTAGTTGGGTGAAACTAAACAGCAAGTGGAAGAAAATTGCAACGAGGACGGCGTGCTTCTCGATCTCGACGAACTTGACGATCAAACTCTGGATCAGGGTAAGGGTCGGACAAGGAGAATGAGTCTCCCGGGCGGCAGCACGGCGCTGCTACCCAAAATTTCGGAGAACATCTTGCCGCAGGCTACAATAAAGCGGCCACCTTCAAGCCAACAAACGGACGATAATGATCACAAAGATAAACGACAATCTCTGACACCATCGGCATCTCACTCTTCTCTGTTTATCAGAGTAATCCCAGGCAACCCTCTACCCATCCCTGCTAAGGAATTATACACAAAAAATTTAGAAAATAAATGGAGAATAAAGGAAATGGGAGTAGGTATAAGAAACCTGGGAAATACATGCTTCATTGCTGCAACCGTGCAATGTATCGTCAGAATACCAATATTCATGAATTTTTTGAATGGACATAAAAATGAATGTAAAACTGGAAAGTTTTGCTGCATCTGTATGATGCAAAGGACTGCCGTGTCATTATTTTATAGCACAGAGCCTATAGTTCCTAAAGAAATAGTTGGGAACATATCCCTTATTGGCGAACATATGCAATACGGCAAACAGGAGGATGCACATGACTTCCTCCTTTGTCTCCTCAACGAAATGCAGAACCAGCTGGTCTTGGGTCTGAAGGTCGACCAGTTCATTGAACGAACTAGTGCCATATCTAAGATATTTAATGGGTTTCTCCGCAGCCAAAGTAAGTTTCAGCTTTTTATCAGTTTTTTCATTAAAATTTCAATCTATTATTATTAATGTTTCTCGGTCTTGCCATAAAACATGCACACTAATGGCATAGCAGAAGATGACTGTGTGTCATGTTATATGTCACCTGGGACCGAATATAATATGGAACATCTAATGTTTCAAGCAGTACAGAGTGGTGATGAGCATTAGTGTGGCTCATTATTGTATTATGCTGCTAACATTTTCAATAGCTAGATATAATTTATCTATAATTTATTTTTATTTTTATACTAACAATTAAACTTTTCACCAACACTCACAGTTATCTGCCAACACTGTAGGACTTCATCCAACAACTACGAAGCATTTTTTAACATAAGCCTAGAAGCAGGCAGTGCTGACTCAGTGCACGGAGCGCTGAGGCATTTTTGTGCAGCGGAGGACATGGGAAACGAAAGGTGGTACAGCTGTGATACGTGTAAGTCCAAGCAAAGAGCGACGAAACACTTTACTATACATCAGATGCCCAATGTTCTCATCCTACAACTGAAAAGATATGGCTTGAGTAATACGGATGGCTATAAAATATCCAAACACGTTACGTTTGAAGAACACCTTGACATTTCTTCTTATGTGAGCTCTGATGGAGATGCTTCAAGACCAAGTCAGACTAAGTATCGACTACATGGCATAGTAGTGCACCAGGGTTATTCTCTGGGCTCGGGACACTACTATGCCTACGCTGTTGACCCTAGGGTGCTGAGCCACAAAAATGGTACAGAATTCAACCAATTCAACCAATATTCAAAGAGATGGCTTTATGCCAATGATTCATCTGTATCGGTAACTGATTGGGAGAATGTGAAGAAGGCAGAGGCCTATCTGCTTTTCTATGCAAAAGTGAATACAGTGAATTCGCATAAAATAGCAACGAGCCCCACGTCTACAGTCACAAAACCAGTCTCCCTTATCAGCACTCCGGCTCCGATGCATGCCACCGATGAGGAGCAGTCTTTTAGTGGTTTTGGCTTCAGTATGTCAATGAAGAAGGTAGCAGGGATCAACAAGCATACTGACGGTACGTTTTACCCTATTATTTAAAGGAATGATACTCAGTTTTACAATATTTTTTTCATATTTAAATAAATAAATTAATAAAATTTTGATTTAATACAAGATCATCCACTTTCTTCTTGCAGACATGTCTTCCACAGTGTCTCAGACACAGATAAAATCTCTACCAATGACTGTTGCCTCAACCACCCCGTGGAAGATTACCACGTTGGAATCAGTCGATTCCACGTCTTGGACGACATTAACGACGACGACATCTGCTATGTCATCGACGGCCATTCCATCACTAACGACTATGTCAGCCTCATGTTCATCGCCATCGAAGATGGTACCGCGCACAGTTTTGAAGGCACTTAAATCGCCTGCAAAAACTTCAACGCCAATGACTTCTACAACCACGACACCAGTGAAATCGTTGCTGCCATCAACAACAGCAACAACTACTTCGACGACTTCGCTGTCAACAGTTACAGTTACTTCCAAGACACCAACAAAACCTTCTTCAATTACACCGACAAAAACAGCAAAACCGGCGACAGTTCCACTCGAGCAGACACCAACCGAAACTTTAGCGGCTACTCCAGTTGCAACAAAAACGTCCAAAGCAGCAACAACTACAGCAGCAGTAGGATTCAAGTCACCCTTAGTTGTATGTAGCCCATGTAAAGTTCCCAAGGTCATAGAGAGCTCAAAATCACTGACGAAAAGTAGAAGCAGTAGTGCCACAAATGCAGATAATGAAGTGGAGAAAATGACTTCTACATTTATTAAACAAGGAAGGCAACATCGCAATAAAGTGTACAGAAAACGAAATTACGACGATGAAGATGACGACAGCGACAAAAGGAATGATGAAGAGGAGAAGGAAGAGAAGGATGATGATGAGGGCAGGTCAAAGAGCAAGCTGAAAAGGACCTCCTTGTCACCGGCACCTGCTGCCACAACCTCCTCAAAGCCATCGCAAGAAACTCGCCATCATGATGATCATAAAGGACAACACAACAACAATCATTCCTACAACAAAATCTCCTCAATCTCATCAATGAAGATCGAAAACAACAACTACCACCACCAGTATAACCAGCATCAACGACAGCAAAATTACCGTGGTCGTGGAATCGACCACAGGCAAAGCAGCTACGACGGTCGCAATTACCACCACGGCAACCAGCAACATTACCAACAACAACACCATCGGGGGGGTTACTACGGCTACCATCAGCACGAACAGAAACCCTACTACAGCAACTATTCGGATAGTAGGCGAAGATACGATGAGGAAGACGTAACAAGAAGGCCGTACACCAGCAACAACAATAATAATAATTATGGTGCTGGTGGTCTTAGAGGAAGACAGAATGCAGGACGTGGTGTTGGCTCGAGCAATCAGCATGTACATTACAGATGGTGATCGTGGTGATGGTGAGGACGACGATGGTGAACAATGCAAAGGAGGAAGAAGAAAAAGATTGTGATTACTATTTTTAATATTTATTACCACCTTTTATTAATTATCTGACAGACAGTGTTACATTCTGTGTAACTATTTTACTGATTGGTTGATTTAATTGAGTGATTGATTGAGTGCGTGATTGATTGATTGATTTATTTAATTATTTATTTATTTGTTTATTTATTTATCTATTTATTTGACATCTCTTGTCAATTATAAAACACGCATTTAAATATGCAATGTAACTCATCATCATTACTTTTATTATTATTGTTATTGTTAACATTATTGATTTTAGTGTTGTTATTATTATTTTTATTAATATATTAGGATTTTCTATTGTATCAATAAAGTACAAGTTCTATAACATTACAAAATTAATTGTTTCGATGGTTATGTTATTTCAGTTTCATCTTAATTTTACGTAATCTATACATGTATAGTGGATATATATGTATACATTATATATATATATAACTATATAAATAATATATAAATAATTAAATAAATATATATATGTGTGAGATATATATATAATATATAGGAATATGTATAGTAGACATGCTAATTTTAAACACAAGTGAATAATATTGTTAAGCTATTGTGGCAGCTATTAAGTTTGTGTGTGTGTGTGTGCGTGTGTGTGTGTGTGTGTGTGTGTGTTTGATTGGTTAATCATTAACAGTTTAACGTGTAAAAGTATCATGATTATCGTTGTATTATAAATTTTAATGAATTAATTGATCAATCAATCAATTTATTTATTATTTTAAATGGAATAATGATTCAATTATAATGTTGGGTGTTGTGAATAATATTGTTAAGCTATTGTGGCAGCTATTAAGTTTGTGTGTGTGTGCGTGTGTGTGTGTGTGTGTGTGTGTTTGATTGGTTAATCATTAACAGTTTAACGTGTAAAAGTATCATGATTATCGTTGTATTATAAATTTTAATGAATTAATTGATCAATCAATCAATTTATTTATTATTTTAAATGGAATAATGATTTAATTATAATGTTGGGTGTTGTTTTTAGATTTTTCAAATAAGAAATCAGTTTATATATGTGTGTGTGTGTATGATTAGTATGTTCGTTTATGTGTGTACTGTATATAGATTTTAATTAATGTGTGTGTGTGTTTGTGTGTATCTGTGTATATATTATCGTATGTTTGTTTGTACATATTTGTATATGTGTGTATACTGTGTGTATATATAAATTTGTTGATTTTCTGTTTGTTTAATACAAAATGAACAGTCGAATTATTGTATATATTATTGTATACATATATATCGTGTATATATATATATACATATATATATATATATATTCTATTTTTTCAATAATAAAAAAATTTAAATTATAGTCTTGTATACAATTTATCTTCTATCAATTTCATAAGCAGTGTGTATATGCGTGTTTGTGGGCGTGTGTGTGTGTGTGTGTAGGTGACCGAATGTAATAAAATGTAAGGATCCAACGGTTTCAAAGCGAAAAAACTTAATGCAATGTAATGTAGTTAATGTAATGAACTAGAAAAAAAAAATTTCTACCTAATTAACTATAAGCTACCTAGTTCAGATAAGAAAGAATGACCTCCACTCTAATTAAATTTGACTTGACCTAATTAAAAAGATTGACCTTGACATTAGGGAAAACAAACCGACCTTGACTCTATTAAAAACACCCAGTACATTGACCTAGTTAAAACGAAATGCCATTGGTTCATTTTTTCTTTTTTTTCTTCACGTACTAATTAGAACGTCAGCCATTGTAATTTTATCTTCCAATTGTAGTGTGGCACCGGCGTGACGTCATCTGACGGCTTCTGTGGCCAGGGTGGTGTGTCCGGGACCGCCGTTGTTCGCGCTTTTTTAACTGTCGGTCAGATAAAACGACGAATTGAATAATTGTGAAAATAATTATGAATTGAATAATTGTGAAAATAATTATGGAATAATATGTTAAAACTATGGAAATGGAATGTTATTATGCTAAAATAATTATAGAATGATATGTTAAAATTATGAAAATAATCATGGAATAATATGTTAAAACTATGAAAATAAAATGTTATTATACTTAAATAATTATAGAATGATATGTTGAAATTATGGAAATAATTATGAAAGGATATTATATTAAAAACTATATAAATAATTTTCTGTTATACGTTATGCGGCTCTGTAAACCCGCAACACTCCTATCAACTTTCTGAAATTACAGTTAAACACGATGCCACACGACACACACACTGAAGAGCACACAGACACTCTAGACATCCATCCACACCACACGTTTATTGCACAAACAGTATTCGAACCCGGTCAACACACAGTGACAACGCGACAAGATATGGCACTTTTACCGAATGAGTTAACTTGCGCATTAATTGTGAAATAATATATTAAAATTATTTAAAAATGACACTACAACTACGGTACAATATAGATATTTATAACAATTGAAAAAGAATTGTACGACAAATTCCGTCTTTGTTCTTCAATTAATTCTTTTTTGAAAATAATTTAATTTAAAAATGAAAAAAACATACCCAAGGGGTTATCTTTGTCACCTAGAAATTATCAATTAACGACATGGTTAACGACAATAATAATAATAATTATTATTATTATTATTATTAACATAGTAATAATAATTATAATAATAAATCATATAATAATAATAAGAACCGTATAAAAAATGTATCCCCCTTATATCGTCTGGTTGTATCGCGAAATTTGGCTTGTAACTGAAGAAGGCATACATGATGGAGGTCGTGTCTGAACTGTGACCTAGCCCTAATACGTGGCCTATTTCGTGTGTGGCCACTTGTCTGAGGTTGACTCCTGTGTGTGTGTGTGTTTACGTGTGTGTACGTGTGTATGTTTGTTTGTGTGTGAATTAGTTAAGAATGTAAGAACCGACCAGTCAATCAGCAATCCAAAATCTCAACCAATCAACAGCCGACAAATCAAAGTTGACCAACCGCCTGTTATTTGCCCGCTATCACTTGTCCACTTTTCTGAATCATCCAAATGGAGTAGCCCTGAAGGGGGCATGAAGGAATGCCCCAAAATGCCTCCAGGGCCGTCGAAGGGAAAATTATCCCCGTGATTATACTTCACGAAATTTATTTTTATGTCCGGGTTTTCAGAACTTTTCTGAAACGTGATTGGTGCAACGGCTGACCAATCCTGGTGAGGAAGAGAAAGAGAGAGAGAGAGAGAGAGAGAGAGAAAAAAAAGTGAAGGAGAGAGAAAGAGTGGAAGAGAACAAGAAAAAGAGGAGATAGAGAGAAAAAAAAATAGAATGAGAGAGAGGAAGTGAAACACTTGCAGAGAATACGTATAAAAATACAACAACTAAACAACGTTACGTTCAACAACAACAACAACAAACAACAACAACAAACAAACATTAAATGAAGTCATGATGATGTAATCAGTCAGTGGAATGTTAAGCCCGTTAGAAGATGGATAATTAACAATGTTGTATGTTAAGGTAGGCTTTCCCCAAACTGTTCCTATGGAAACAAATAATAATGATAACAACAACAATAATAATAATAATAATTTTTAAATGTTATTTAGTATTTTATTTGTTTATTCATTCGTTCGTTTGTTGAGTTCTTTTGTTCATTCTTTTATTCGTTCGTTCATTCATTCAATCCATCAACCAACCTAACAATTCATATCTCTTCCTCCTCCTT